CCCATGATTCCAGCAGGACCCTCGTGATTCCAGCAGGACTCCCATGATTCCAGCGGGACCCCCATGATTCCAGCAGGACCCCCGTCCAGCCCCATCCCAGGGCCCCAGTTCGTCGCTCCCGCGCGTCTCCCGATTCTCTGCAGCGACTCCAAAGCCCAAACTCCGTCCAGGAAGAGCCGGGAATGCTCCAAAACAAGGGAGAATCCCATTCCTGGGATGAAGAACGATGCCAACATCCCCGCCTGGGTCCGCAGAAATCCCACGGGAACAAAGACTCCGTGGCTCCACGGTTTATCTTCTGGGAATTGTGGTGATTCCATCCGGGATCCGAGTTCATCCGGGGTTAATTCCACGTGTGGAGGTTCCACAGCCAAGCTCCCGAGGCGATTCCTTCCCTGCCCGATTCCCGAACTTTGGAGAGTTCTCCTTCCACAGAAAACTGGGCACATCCCAAACTAAACCTCCTTTGGAGGAACAGAAGCCACCAGAACCCAACTGAGGCCCCAGATCCGGAGGGACGGCGGAGATTTGGTCGAAAAGGAGCCAAAGAGTGAAATCCTGCGGAATTCCGTGTGAAATGACCGGGATGACCCACGGCAGATCCCAACTCCACTGCCACATTCCATGGCTGGGTTGCCAAGAGTCCTTCAAGGCCCCTGGATTTTAGTGGGATCTGTTATTTTGGGTTCATTTCCTCGATTCTCCTCCACGTCCCCTTTTCCACGGTGGGTTTTCATTCCTCTCCCGCAGAAAATCCCGATTTCCTCACATGGAGACGGAGGCTCCGGAACGAAGTTGCCTCCGGGGCTGGAGCCCAACGTGAGCAGAGTCCCCTGGGGCCATTCCCAGGGGGAAAACGCCTGGATTTGGATCCAGCAGGAGCACTGGGGGGGTGATTCCCGGCGCACAGCCGGAAGTTGAGCTCTCCCCCTTCAACATTCCTGGATTTTCCCCTTCTATCCCAACACTCCTCACAACAACTACTTACTGTAGCCGGCGGTGGCGGAATTCCCTCCGTAGCCGTAGCTCCCGTACCCGGCCCCTGCAGCGGCACAAAACGTGGGAATGAATAAAACAGGGATTTGGAGCAGAAAATGTCCCGTCTGGCTACAAGAGCAGGCAGGGGGGTCATTCCCAAATGGGGGGATTTTGGGGAATTCTGGCCCCTCCAGGTGCTGTGGATATGATGCCAGAGGGGGATCATTTCCCTTTGGGATGTTCTGACCCCTCCAGGTGCTCTGGACACAGTTCCAGAGGGGGATCATTCCCATTTGGGGTGTTCTGGCCCATCCAAGTGCTGTGGATACGATGCCAGAGGGGGATCATTCCCATTTGGGATGTTCTGGCCCCTCCAGGTGCTGTGGACACAGTTCCAGAGGGGGTTCATTCCCATTTGGGATGTTCTGACCCCTCCAGGTGCTCTGGAAACAATTCCAGAGGGGGATCATTCCCATTTGGGATGTTCTGGCCCTCCAGGTGCTCTGAACACAATTCCAGAGGGGGATCATTTCCCTTTGAGATGTTCTGACCCCTCCAGGTGCTCTGGACACAATTCCAGAGGGGGATCATTCCCATTTGGGGTGTTCTGGCCCCTCCCAGAGGGGATATCCCTCCCTGGGTGGTCTCTGTCCCTCACCTGTGTTCATGTAGCCGCCGTGGTTCCCTCCGAAGCCGCCCCGGCCTCTCCCTCGGCCCCGGATGTTTCCGCCCCGGCCGCGGCCGCGCATGTTGGGGGGCGGGGGGGCCTCGTTGTGCATGGGGCCCCCCATGCCGAACCCCGGGTTGTGCTGCTGAAGAGAGGACAGAGGTGTCACCCCAGAGCCTCCCAAAACACCTCCCAAAACACCCGGAGGTGGCTCCGGGATGGCACAATCTTGGGAAACTGGAGGGGAACACCCGGAGCCGCGGGGGTGGGACTGGGAGCTGGGGAACCCCCAAACCCTTTTTTTTGTGGCTGTTTGCCACAAAACCTGAGGGGGTTTGGGATTGCAAACCCCAAGATCCACCTCTCCCCACCTGTCTGTACCCAGCTCCCAGACCGGGATCAGACCCCGGAGCCACGGGGGTGGAACTGGGAGCTCAGGAGCCCCCAAACCCAGAGGCTGTTTGCCACAAAACCCGAGGGGGTTTGGGATTGCAAACCCCAAGATCCACCTCTCCCCACCCGTCTGTACCTCATTCCCAGACCCAAAAAGGAATCAGACCCCAGAGCCACCGACCCCCCGAGCTGCACCCCAGAGCTGTGGAAGTGGGGATTTACTCACTTTGACTGGGAATTTGGGGCCCCCCCTGGCTGGCACGGGGGCTCTTTTCTTCTTGTTCTGCTCGATGGCCACGGGAGCGTCCGGGAACAGCTTCTCCAGGGCGGCCAGCGCCGCGTAGGCCTTGGCCACCTTCTTGTTCGAGCCGGCGCCTTGGAACTTCTGCCCGTCCACCTCCACCTGGGGAAGGGAGGAAACCACCCGTGTCAGGGGAAAAGGCACCAAAAGATGGGACCACTTGGGAAAATGAAGCATTTCTACGGTGCCTAAGGGCAATTCCAGAGCTGGAAGTGAGGCTGGATGAGGCTCTGTCCCGTTAACGAGCTTTGAAGGGTCTTTTTCAACCCGAACCACTTGGGTTTGAAGGTTTAAACTCCTGGGAACGGGGATGAGGCGGCTTCCCAAGCTCTTTTCCCACCCAGCCCGCCCCGGATTGGGATGATCCGAGCTCCTGGGAAGGGGATGGAGCCCAGGTGCCCCCTCCTCACCTCCATGACGAAGCGCTTGTCGTGGCTGCCGCCCGTCTCCGAGATCAGCTCGTACTTCAGCCCGCGCCGCTTCTCGTTCAGCTCCATCACGGGGTTCTTCCCGTGCTTTGTCAGGATTGGTCCCTGCTGCTTCACGTTCTGCAAGGGGAGAAGGGCGGCTGAACCCCCAGAAAACACCCCCAGTGGAACCCCGGAGCTGCTTCTTCCCTTTGGGAAGCGACGCCACGAAGCCACGTCTGCCTCGGGTTTTACCCACGACCCGGAGAAGCAACGGTCACCCCCAGGTTGTGTCCCCCCACCCTGAGGTTGTGTCCCCACCCCTTGAGGCCGTGTTTCCCCCCTGTGCTCACCTCAGGGGTCTGATCAGCCGGGGGCGAGGCCGCCGTGGGCGTCGACACCGTTTCCACGACGGGCGGAGGAGCCACGACCACGGGTTTCTGCTCCGTCTCCTCCGCCGACTCGTCGCCCTTCCCGGAGTCTTTGCCTTCCACTCCGGTGGGCAACCCCATGTCTTGCAACACCTGGAGAGGTGGAGCAGGGTCAGGGGATGCGCTGGGCTCCAGGAGCTCCTGCCAGCCCCATCCACCAGACCCTGGTGCTCCGCGGTGCTCAGAATTCCCAAATCCCGCGGGCGCTCCCCAAATCCCACGGGCACCCCACCATGCCCCCATTTCCAGCCCCACACCCGCCTGTGCCCCCATTTCCACCCTTCCCCACCCGAGCACACCTGAGCCAAGCTGTTCCCACCCCATCCCGGGGCTTTTTCCCAGGGTTTTCCCACCTTCCCTCTCACCTTGACGGCCACGTGCAGCTTCGCCGTCTTCTTGGAG